AAAACAGAGAGGCAATATGTCGACGGAAAACAAGCAGCAAAGCCATGAACAATGAAATAAGCACAATAATGTTGTCCAATTTCAATTTTGGAGAAGCCAATGTAAAATTATAAAGGAAAATCTGTATGCAGATATGAATGAGAATTATATAATTAATTTCGACGGCGAATGAATAAAAACTTTAGACGACTCTTTCAAGACAATTTACATATGCGTATAATTATGTTTGTTTTGAGTTTTCCGTATTTTGTCCTTATTAATTGTGTGATTTCGAAGAAACAGTTCCCACAAAAGTTTATACATAGACAGTCACATACTTTTGTTTGCATTTAAATAGTATCTTCCTGATCTGATATAACGGTTTTAATTATGAACACAAACTGTTATATTGAACAGTGATGGATGTTTTGCTTGTCAGTTAGCTACCTACCTTAAGTTCTTATTAATTTTTTTCCGATTTATTAAATTGTTGCTTTTTTCCACTTCATTTGAAATCTTTTAAATAGTTATATATTTGGCAATCATCTCTTTATTATAAGCTGTATGTACTGTGTTAAAATTTACTGTATTGAGTAAAACTCATCGCTTATTCTTCATCTGAATCCCTACAATTCCGTTAAACCATTTACAGCATCTCATAACGGATGTGTATTCCCTACTACATTGCACTCTTCCCTACACATCTTCTTGTACTCACTGAAATAACTGATGAAATTAATCTACATAAATAAGTTTTAAGTTATGTTGTAAACAAAAAAAAATGATTGGTTGATTCCAGCTTGTTTTATCCAGTGGCAAATATTAAATGCTTATTCTCGTTCTGACATAGTAATAGTTCGACCAGGATGAAGGGCGGGAATATGGAACTGCCACTGACATACTACTGTAAATGTGTTGGATAAGGACAGAAATGTCTACGGACTCATCAAAGAGCTGGGGCAAGGATTCTTTAAAGCGTGACATTCTCTTTCTCTACCTGACCCATCGGATGTCAGACGTGGTTGTGTATTAAAACATCTTCAACTGGAACAAATAAAGAGGATTCTGAGGGTGTAATGACGAAAACCTTCATTTGATACAATACAGACAAACATTATAACAAAATAAAAAGATGAACAGACACAAAACGTCCATAAAAAAACCACAGAAAAAACAAAGTCTGAGAAAGCGAACCCTACACAAAAAAGGTGACGAACTAAAATGCCCTAAAGAGTAATCAGCTCCGTCTGTATCTGAATAATGAAACATGTCTTTGACGTCAATGTGCTATATACTATTCAAATTGTTTCACTCAGGAACAAAACCCCTTATGGCATATTTTGTATCGGAATTTTGTCAATCGACTTCATTATTTCCTTCATATGGGATGTTTCTTTGTCAGCTGGTTCAATATATGCGTGTGATATCTCGGATTGCAATGACCGTTAAGTTTCAATACTAAACACGTATAGAGCGAAGGCAAAGACATCATAAATTCGTAAAAACGCTTACTAAATCGTACACAAATATACTATTGTGGAATTGATTCCTCGTTAAGAATTAAAATAAACTGTTGATACAGAGATATGTCTCGCCTTTATGTTATTCTAATTTTTATAATGCAAATGTTGAAATTAAAATGGCATTAATATGAAATGAAAATGAACCATGACTGAGGGGCAATCCATGCAATCTTCATGAAAATGAGATCTATCACAATTTGAAGGTTTATACAACTGCATACAAGATATCGTTGACTTATCATAAGTGGGTCCCCTTAAACTGACACGATAACACATTATATCATGTAACCTATGCAAAAATTCTAAAGTCAATGAATCATGACTAAAGGGATGAGACCATACAATCTCCATGGAAAAGAGACGTGCCAATACTAGTACAACTACCTACAAAATATCATTACTTACAATTAGTGATTCCTCTCAAACTGACCTAATTTCAATTTTTACATGTGAACTATGTTATAATTTCAGAGGGGGCATGGCCCAATAATCTCCATGAAAACAAGATGTGCAGTTGCTACTTTAACTGAATACCAAATATCATTGACATTCAATAAGTGGTTCCCCTTAAACTAACCTAATCACAAACTTTAACAAATTGTTGACGACACCGCTGATGCCCGAAAGAGCAAGCAAAAGACTCGTGTTTATCATTGCGAGAGAATAAAAATGGTATTACGTCACTGTACGTATCCAGCAATTTACGATAGCATCGTTTATGAAGACAACATATTTAGAAACTGTCCTTCAAATCTGCCTCTTGCTTAATATACTTTTTGATAAAGATTATAAAATAATGTTGTCCAATCAATGCCTCTGTTATACTTTGGGACACATTCATTCTTTGATTTATAGTTTGAAGCAATACATGTACTATTTTTTTTTAAACGTTTTCTGTACTGTTTGTTCTTGGCATTGCACAATATTGTCTTCGTGTACTGTATATGAATTCGCTGTATGATATGTTCTGTGATTGATTTATTGCTGATGTGTTCTGCCTCTTTCTATATTATAGTTTTTATTTGTGGAAGAAATCGGATTCGTACTCACAACCTCAATAATGAGAGGCTATAGATTACTGTAGATGAACCACTAAGACCACTCGATCACTGACGCCCCCAAAGTATATGAAATAGATCAACCGATGTTTAATGTAGGATGGCATGATTTCTGATCCGCAGTTTAAGTACTTCGAGCTTGTTTCAAGTCATTCTTTAGTACGTTATAATTTGTACCGGTTCATTAGGCCACACCAACTAATTTCTTGTTCTCTGGATTTTTCCACCCCAGAAGGCGAGCGATTATAATTATTTTTTGTAAACATAAAATCATAGGTTCTGACAATATTGATCAAAACAAGATGGTATGCAACTTGATTTACCACTTGTACTTTGACATTTTTTTAATATATCAACTGCTAAAGTGTTGGTTTTTGTTCCTGTTCACAAAGACATGCAATGTCCACTTTTAATTGCAGCATATTGATGACTTCTTGTATTACTGTAACTGTTACTTTCTGAGGACATCAGATCTTGAACCGAATAATTGAATAATTATTTTAACTGCTTTAAATGATGTCTTTCCTCCTTCACCGGACATGACTTATAACTAGCAACACGGTCGGTGTTTGCAAGAAGCTGGAACTGCTCATCCTTCCGGAACACCTGCGTTCACCCCCAGTTGTTTGGGGTTTGTGCTGTTTGTTGATGTGTGTACTTGTTAGTTTTTTGTGTTTTTTGTTGGTTGTCTGTGTCTCTGTCGTTTTGGTGTTCTCATTTTTGTTCTTTGTCTTTTTGGCACTTTGTATATAAATAAGATGGGGTATGAGTGCCAATGAGACAATTCTCTATCCAAGTTACAATGTATTTAAAGTTAACAATTATAGCCATATAGGTCAAAGTACGGCCTTCAACACGGAGCTATGGCTCACACCCAACAGCAAGCTAAAAAGGGCCCCAAAATGACTAGTGTAAAACAATTCAAACAGGAAAACTAACGGTCTAATCTATACACAAAACATGAAACACCTTTTAACCACACCAACAAACGACAACTACTGAACAACAGACTCCTGACTTAGGACAGGTGCATTCAAATGCAGCTGGTATGGATAGTTTTGTTCCGCCGGCAAACGTTATTGCAGCTGAAGGCAACACTTCTCCTCCTTCTGCGTCCTTTATTCTAACAACGAAAATCGGCATGATTTTGTGAAAAATCCTCCTTGACTTTGATAAGAAATCTGTGTTAATGCTCGAAACAGGATTTGACGTTGACTAAAGGTAGCACGGTAGTATTTGCATCCCAGAACTTAGGTTGCTCTTTTGTGTACCCTACTTAAGTCAATGTATCTAAACAGTGCGATTGGACAAAAAATACAGTATCAACTGAACATACTTTCCCAAACTGAGGGATGAATCAGGTGTAGAAAAATGTGAAATAATTTTACATACAGGTGAAAATGAATTTTTGAGAATTTTTTTAAATTTTGTATTCACTGCATGATAAAAGACCTAAAAGCACTAGTGGTCCTAGGTTTTTAAAGATATCAAAAAAAGTAAACGGTCATGATACATATTCCAATTCATTTCTGAATAGTATAAGGAAAGTACTTCAGTTAACTGTTTATGTAGAATTTTTGGCAGTTTTAGAAAGTGGTGAAAATTCTAAAAAGGCTATCATTATCCCTTATGGGCCAGGAAATATTACCGTGCCCCCTAAAACGCTCTTGCGATCGTGTTTTGTTTTTTTAATGTTAACAAAAATACCGACGCAGGAAATAGACTCGATTACTTTCCAGATGCGGGAAGCGGAAATATTAAAAAAAAAAAAATCTGTTTAGAAAAAATGATGTGCGGGCGGGTCCGTCGAACAAGAAATTAAATTGGCGTGGCCTTACAGTTAAGTGATCTTTTTTTCTGTACTGGTTTTTATTGTACTATTTTTTGTGTACGTATTTCTACAACAGCAGTTGTTAAATGGCATATCCTAATGTTTTTCGTTATTATACATGTTATATTAGAAAAATGTGTGTTATCGGAGATCGTTGATTGTTAATTGTTATTTTATTCAAACTTTTATAGAATCGGGGCAATTTGGAGCTTGACATCCAGCATAGAAACTTGTTGGAGACTTTATGTTGCCCTCTAAATGTACTACTAGTAGTATTTGATTATATTCATCTGTGTAAAGCTATGTTATTGACATTTACTTCAAATATCGTTTTGATTTAAATAGATACACTAACACTGTTATCACCCAAATATTATCCAAATTGAAAAATGAATCTAACATCCTAGATGCATTTATATTGAAATCATTTATTAGAAATAATAACAATAATTGCAAGAATTGAATCATATAAACAATACAGAAAACTTATTTTTGCTTTGCAAATATTCAAGTCTTATCAATTGATTGTGTATTTTGACTGAACAAATATCTTAAATTTCAAATGAAATATTTCTTACTTAATTATGTCAAATAAAGAATTAGTGAACATACACCTAAAGCGGAATTTAATTCAGATATCTGAAAATATATAAATATATATTTAAATTAGTTTATATCTCTTATACAAATTAACAACAGCTGTTTCAATATTTGTGTATTCTGTTCAGTTTTTGTTATTGTTCAAAAGAGGAACAATGTCACTGAACCCTTTTTCCTTTGCAATGTCCACAGGAGACAGCCCAGAGGTACCACATATCTTAACATTTGCACCATTTTGGAGCAATATCTTTACTATTTCGATATTACCGTTGAAGCATGATTTAAAAAGAGGAGTTTCGCCTCGAACGTCTGCTACATTTACATTCGCCCTTTTCTCGATCAATGTGTTAACAACGTCTTTATGACTATTTATACAAGCGACATGAAGAGCCGTAACTTCGTCTTTATCAGTACTATTTACGTCAGCCTTACGATTCAGTATCATCTTTACTATATCAGTGTATCCGTTTGCACAACTGAAGAAAAGCCCCGTCCATCCCTTTGTATTTGTCTTTTCGTATTTGACATGATTCTCCAAAAGAATTTCTACAACATTACGATGCCCGTTTCTGCAAGCTTCATGGAAGGGTCTAATCTTATCTTTTTTTGTTTTCTCATCAATCGAAGCACCGTTATCAATTAACAATTTTACGATTTTTTCATTTCCCTTTCTACATGCTAAATGAAGAGGTGTCTCCCCTGTTTTGTCTTTGACATCTACTTTTGAACCTGTTCTTAATAAAATATTCACAATGTTTATACTTTCTTTCTCACATGCCGCATGCAAAGGGGTAGAACCGTTTGATGAGCTTTTATTTATATGTGCCTTATTTTGAATTAGAAGTTCCACAATATCTTTATAACCCCCAGTACATGCATAATAAATAGGAGTTCTTCCTATTTTGTCCAATGTATTAATCTTGGCTCCAGCGTTTAGTAACAACGAAGCTGTATCACACTGTCTATTTTTGCATGCCAAATGTAAAGGTGTTAATCTACCTTTATCTTGCATGTCAATAGAAGCATGATGTTTCAGTAGTATTCCTGTTAGTTCTGTAAAACCGTTTAGACAGGCTATGTGAAGAACGCTTTGGTGTTCCCTCGTCATATACTTTTCGTTGATTTTAACAAAGTCTTCCTCCAAATTGATCAAATAATTCACGACGGGAGTTGAATTATTTTCACATGCATAGAAAAAAGGTGACAATTTGACATTGTTTAAAATGTGAACGTTTCGACCGATTTCAACAAGCAATTTTACAATATCAAGATGACCATTCATGGATGCTAAATGCAAAGGTGTGTTTCCCTTTGCATCGGTCTTATTAATCATTCCTTTGTCCAAGTTCATAAAATAAGAAGCAAAATCTTCATAACCTAACGACGAAACAAAATGAAGGACGGTTAAACCGTCTGCATTCGTTTTCCAATTTTTTCCCTTTCTACTGTTTTTCAAATACTCTAAAAATTTCTGTCTGAATATTGGAAAGGCACTTTGAGTATTTTCAAAAACATCCACAAACTGGCCTTCGCTAAGGTCCCTTGCAAGACGGGTAAAATAAGCCTCTTCATGTTCTGGTGTAACTTTAATTACAGGAATAGTCTGTTCTTCCTTTACGTATGCCAATTCTACCTGATTTTTAATTACAGCGCTTTTATTGTACTTAAGTACTGAGTTTATAAATGTTTTTGCAATGCAGTAGAGAACTATAGTTTGCATATTATCATGGATAAATTCGAAACAGTCTTTATCAACCTTCACGTATGTGTCTGTCAAAGCCTCAAGTTGACTGACAATAAGTCTTTTTGATGGATGTATTTGAGATCCAGATTCCCAAAACAAGTTTTTTATTAACTCTTCATTTTCAATTTTAACAAAAAATGATTTTTTAGTAATTTTTTGTTCGATAGCCAGCACAGCTAAAGAGATATAACGCACTGGTGATTTCATTTTGTAACTATCTATTTCCTCTTCGATGAATTGAACAGGTAAGGTAAAAAAGTTTTCTATTGTGCCTACGTCTTTTGATGAAAAGATCGAACATAACGACGGCAAAAAAGGATACATCATAATTATTTCGTCATTTATGGCATTTATGGCAGTTTTTTCGAGATATGCCTCACAGATGGTCCGTTTTTCCGACAGAGTTAATCTCAACTCATCTGTATGTAAATCGCATACGAAAGCTGATAACCTAAAGCGTTCGCATATTTCAGGATGCCAAATAGACTTTCTGCACGTTAGTATTACTTTAGTTTGATCGTTGTGACTTAAAATCTTATGAATGAATGGACCTTTTTTTTCCCATGCAACTGCTTCAGCTTCATCTAAGGCATATGTCCCGATGAAATCATCAATGATAAATACTTGGTTTGTACCTTGTATATAATATTGAGTTATATCTGACGGCTGCCGTGCAGGCACAATTGTGTAACCATATTCGTTCTTTAATCTAAATGCTACGTGATAAGCGCATGCTGATTTACCTGACCCTGTTGGTCCTATAATGACAACGAGTTTTTCCGTCTGGATTCGCTGATATACGTATTGCGCGGCTTTTGTTACAACAAATTTTGCAAGTTCATTGGACCAATTCATTAGTGTTTCCTTTTGCAGTTCTGTGAAGTAAAAGAAAAAATTACATGTTTAAAAGAATAATATGAACACATGTAAATATTGTATTTTGTTGCATACAGCCTACCCAAAAAGCAATATTGCTAATTTGGTATAACACAGATTTTCCTTTGGTAGAAATGTCTTGTGATACGCATTTGTATAGAAGTATGTATCATAATATATATGCGAAACTGTGTGGATTTTGGTATTTGCAGCGTATGTAATCTTATTAAGGTATTGATTTCCTTAGCTTCATGTGGTAAAACCTTTCGACCTTATAACTTTTTTTATTCGTGCGTTACTGATGAGTCTTTTGTAGACGAAACGCACGATATCTTTGACGAGATTTTTTGTCATAACATGGCTTTGCCATATCGAGGCATAGGGACATGAGGTAATGATAAGAATTTGTTGTTTTTACATGTAGGTTCCTCGACCGAACTCATTGTATCCAGGGTTTAATTATGTTAACGACGTTTCAGATAGAATAGTGAAATTTCTTTTCGTGGTACTCGATCATTTGTCGATGAATCTTACATTGGTCAATATATCTGAACAAACTGATTTCAAAACAAATTTACAATCTACTGAATTATGAATACCAATTTAGAAATGGTTCAGTGGTTAAGGATTTAAACCAGTTGTACATACAGTTGGGAATTAATTTTTCAGATTTGTTTTATTTTCACATTCACTGCTTTTACATCATGTACATGGTCTGTTCACTCATATTTCGCCATATTTAATTGACAGTACATCCGTTGAGTATTGTTGAAGCTTCTTATACTAAAATGGCGAACACTCATCCGTTTTGATCAGAAAATACTATCATTCCAACCATTAACCAATATAAACGCTTTCATCGATTACAGCTTACACTATTTATCATTCAATCGCATGGTAAAAATTTCGATGACAAACTCTTTGCATTTCTACACTTTTGCATAATGATTTATATATATAAACACTATAAAATGATACTTAGCTAATAGCAAACACACATAAACAGTCAAATAGACTGACATCATATTGATCAGATTCTTTAAACTTTGATGTACATGTTTATTATTTTTCAATGACTTATGCAATTTAATACATCGCTTCACATCTAAAAGACTAAAGCTTGACATTCTACAAACATTAACTTGAAGGCAAACATACATATATTCTATGCTGTTTATATCAATAAATGAAACTCTTTTCTTTGTAATATTTCTTTACAAGCGTGTGCAGACATATTTTACCTAGTAGATGGTATGGCATCTTTCCTATATCATCTTCGAGTTTGGATATTTTGTCCTTTAACTTCAGTTTTTTAGAATCAATTGCAGCAATTTGTTTTTCCAAACTTGATTTTTCAATGGCTATCAGAGAAGCAATCTTTTCGTCAACCTCTACAAAATAAAATATACATAATAGGGTTTATTTTACGGTTTATCGGAACTTATTGCTATGCAGTTATTAACTTGGGAGAGATACACGACTATGTTTATAAATTTGTAAATACTAGAATTAACATTCTGTACGCCAGACGCGCGTCTACCAAAGACTTAGTTAAAAAAGTGAAGCTTGGATAAAAAGTAAAACAGGCCCAAAACATTCTAAGTTGAAGAGCATTAAAGACCCAACATTTCGAAATATTTGACAAATACAGCTATAGTAATCTATTCCTGGGATAGAAATTCTTATGTATTTCTAAAAAGTGAAAATTTTGTAAGCAGTTAATTTAACTCCTGTTTCTGAGAATCAATTGTATGAATTTTTTTTTTCAAAATTCGATTTTTCAATGGCCACCAGAGAAGCAATCTTTTCGTCAACCTCTACAAAATAAAATATACATAATAGGGTTTATTTTACGGTTTATTATTGGAACTTATTGCTATGCCTATTGATATCTAATCTGTCCCTAAGTTCCTAGCGACAAAACCTTTATCATTTTGTTCAATTTGAGGTAGAAGTTATTCTTCTGTTCAAATGTGTTTTATTTTTTATTTTTACAGCTAACAATTAGTCCAATAGAGAAATCACTGTGGAAACTAATAACACAAACATCTCCACATCGTCAAACTAGAGGTTTTAAAGAGCCTGTGTCGTTCACCTGCATCTTCAAAAATAGCCAGTTTTGGTATAATTTACCATGAAAGGGCAATTACTCTATAAAGAGTTAAGTTACAGTTTCAGTCAAGTTGACATATTTGTAGATCTTGTCCTGCTGATATTTTCGCTTTTCAACGTTTCTTTCTTCATTTGTATCTAATGAATTTTTCTAAGATAAAAGGCAAGCACTCCAAAAAAAGGTAAACACATCAATAAAGAGAAATAACTCTAATAAAAAATCGACCAACAATTTCATCCATGATGAATTATTTGTAGATCTTATCTTGCTTACCATTTTTGCTGTAAAAAGTGTTTATCTATTTATTACAGTTTTCAAAATAGTAGGTAAAAATTAAAAAACATTAGGAAAATCGTCCTCTTAGAGCTTTTACTTCAATAAGAAGCCATCCGACGATTTCGGTCATATTTGACTTATTAGAAGATCGTAACCTATTGATTATTTTGGCTTTCAAAGTTTCTTTCTATCTATTATGATTTAAAGATATAAGGCAAAAACGCCAAAAATAGTAAAAATCGTCATTAAAGAGTAACCAACAACTCCAATAAGGAGTTGTCTAATGATTTCAGCCATGTTGACTAATTTATAAATCCAGTCTTGCTAATCTTTTTCTAATAACAATTTCTATGTATATATCATATAAAATTATGTAGTTTTCAAAATAATAGACAAAATGAAAACAATTGATTTATTTTGATAGATGATTACTTCTCTGATAGTGTAGATGTAAGCAGACAGATCTCAACATTTCCGTCAGATTTTTAATATTCATAGCAGTTTTTTAGATAGACAAAACTTATATTTTACCACTATGTTCTATTTTCAGCAAAATCTGCCATCTTGGTTGACAGGCTGGGTCATTGGACACATTTTGTAAACTAAATACCACAATAATGATTGTTGCCAAATTTGATCAAAATTGTACCAATAGTTTCAGAGGAGAAGATTTTTGTAAAAGTTAAAGAACGACATAGACGATGACGGACGACTGACGACGGACGCAAAGCGATGAGGAAAACTCACTCAAAAATTTCTCAACAATTTTTGTATACCAAATTTGGTCAAGTTTATATGCTTTATTCCGTTTGTTACCTAATTAAAAGCTCTGATTAATCCGTCTTTTTGTAGAACGTTTAACTTTCTGTTTGTGGTTTTGTATTTTGAGCAGTTTTATTTGTTTATGTTTTGTTGTATTTTTGATCGCTAAGTCTTGTGTATCCTTATTCCCGACAATGTATTTTGATTTCAACTTTTTACATTCAGTTACATTTTTTTATATCTTATTGGTCCGAAAATATACCGGAACTGTTTTATAGAATTAATATTTAAGGAATGACTGTAATATTTTCTCTGTCTATGAAGAAATAACATCAAAAATGTGGTGCACACTGAATA